CCCCCCGCCCGCCTGCACTTGTTGCAGACTTCGCGCCAGGTAGGGGCAACGCTTCCGAAGTTTCGTTTTTGCAGGAGTCAGGGCTGCGCTGGAAGGAGAGGAGGAAAAAAAAACGCGGGGGGAGAGAGAAAAAAGTTTGCAGCTCGCAGTTGACTTTCGGTCTGCAGCGCCGAGGCTCTGCCGGCTGCCGCCACCTCCTCCCCGGCCGGGAGCGGGCGGGCGGGGGGCGCTGCCCGGTACCTGCCCGGGCCGGGCGGGCGGCGGGGCGCCCCCATCGCGGCGCTGCTGCGAGTCCCGGGCGCCGCCGCGCCGCGCCGGGAGCAGAGGCGGGGAAGGGCGGCTCGGCGGGGCTGGCCGCGGAAGTTCTCCGACCCGCGCTGTCCGTCACGGCCCCTGACACGAGTGGGCGACCCACGCCCGGCTCTCTCCTTCTTTCGTCCCGCAGCGCGCTCGCTGCCATGTCGGTATCAGTATTGGGAGCGGAGCGGCCCCGGAGCTCGGCCGTGGAGCCCTTCCCGGGCGGCACCGCRTGGGGCGAGCTCGTTTTGGAGGAATGGGAATTTCTCCCTCCTTTCCCGCGGGAGAGGAGCGCGCGGGGGGCTGGGCGCTGGCGGGGCGCTCCTGGTTTGCGGCCCGTCAAAATTACGGGGTGGTAAGGAACAAAAACTCTTAGCCAGATATTTAAATACCGGAGAGGCGATTTGCAAGTGAAATTAATCGGCAGTTAACCAGTTAATAAATGGATAATGCCTATTCATCCTTCTGCTGACTTTACAGAGTGGTTTTCACGTCTGCCCGTCAACTAACCAGGCTTGACTGATCGAGATGTAAACCTAGCCGGTTTAATGCCTTCGTCCAGTAAAATCTGACCTGCACTTGCTGTCCTTGAGCATCAGTGCTGGTCATCATTCAGATAGCTACAAGTGAGGTTCATACATTTTTACAGACTGGCATGATGGCAGAAAAATATATAGGATGACCCATAGCTTAACTGTTTAAGGAAAATACTGTGAAGCACTTAACTGTGTGTTTAATGTTTTAAGCAGGTAATTGCTGAGGGGGAAGTTTTGTGCGTAGTTACTGTAGATAGGAGAAGAGGAGTGAGTTTACCTGGCAAGGTTGGCCTGGCTGCCCAGCAGGGCCACTCTGCTGCCTGTACCCATCCTGCCTGGGGCTCTGGCCTGCAGAGCTCCCCTGGGGACCAGGGATTCMTCTGCTGCCCTCACTCAGGGTGTAGTGTCATGGTGAAGTGACCCATCCTTACAGTGTGAGTGTGTGTGTGAGTTGYTCCTGCATGCGCTACCTGCAGCTGTTTGCTTCATTGCTTATCTACTTCGTGGTCTTGGATGTTCAGTTGGATCTGAACGGAGCCATTGCATTAATAAGGTGCATCTATCTAGAAATAACCCATTTCACATTGTTGCCTACCGAAGTGRAGGTATTTGATATGCCCTGGCTGGTACCTTTTTTCTAAGCGTTGTCCAAGGCACATATATAACATATATACTATGCAGCTTTGCATAAAATAAATAGAGATTTTTTTTTTTTAATTTAGAATTTAGATAAGTGATTTTTCATATGAAGAAAATCTATGTGTTTTTCTTTTGTAGAAGATACTCTGATAAACTTCAGAAAAATTAATGGCTTGAGTATAAAGTATAAAGGCCTATTCAGAAGTTTTGATGCAAATGAACACTCCTACAATCTGTTCTGCTCCCACTGATTAGCAGTTTATGTTTCTGAAGTTGGGAGTCCTCAATGAGGACCTGAGCAGCACAGTGGTGTGGTGGTCAAACCCATGTATCTTGAAAGCCAAAAAACCTCAAATACAAGTAACGCACTTCGCTGTGAAACTTGGCCTGAGTGCGGATGGAGAACTGGCCTCTTGGTGATACGATAAGACCAGAGCTTAATCACGCTGCTGTATCAATGTGTGTCCCGYTGTTGGCATCCCTCCCTGGGCGAGAGGGATGAGGCCACGGGTAGCTAGGCAGGCATCCTGCCTCCAGTGTTTATATCATGGGCCAACACAGCGTAATAAACCACAGCATGACTAACCTCTCTACCTAACATTGACTCATGTTGTATTTGGACAGACTGAAAAAGTCTYCGTGCCTAAGCCATTTCATTTTCTCAACCTATATGTTACTGATGATGTCCTGCCTGTTGAGAATACACCAGTATGCACTCAAGACCATAAAGCAAATCCTTGTTTTGCTTTTGGGTAGTGCTCAACTAGCCTAGATAAAAAAAAGGAATTCCTAGATTTTGAACTCAAAACTCTATTGCTTGTCTTCTTCTGGCCATTTGAATTCATCTAATGATGCAATGAAGCTTGCTATTATAAACTGAGCCCATAACTTGGCATCTGGCAAGGAGTGTGAGAAAAGTATAAGAAAAGCAGCTCTGTAAAGAACTGTAGGTTTTCCTAAAGCAGTAAATTAATATTTTGCTTGCTGTGAATTTCTTAATATTTGTTTTTTGTTCTGATCAAGTGGGGGATATGTCAACTAAAAACTTACTTAGCCAAGTGCTTGAGAAGGCCTTTCTCTCCCTCTGCCAATTCTGTAATAGGACAGTATAAAAAGAAGGGCCCTGGGTTGTGCCTTTTTACTATGTGTCATAATAACTGTGAGATAAGGCAGTTTCATTTCAGCTTCCTTAGAAATATGTGTTTGTTTTTTGTTTTTTTTTTTTTAAAGCAAGCAGTGTTTGACAGATATGAAATAATGGTTGTTGTGGAAACAATTTGTTTCCTCCCCTTGCATTCTTTTGAGAGCTGCATAGCTGCATAATTCCAATAAAAAATTTCCATCAGAATTATAATTTTTTCTGTCCCTAAAATTAATGGATCCTTATGCCTACCCTGCACCTGAAAGAAGTACACAAAAGCATCTTTTAGTGCATGTGTGAATTCTGCCTGGAGAAGCTGCCACACCCTCCGTTATTTACAGAGGGTGAAGAGCAYGAGTGGTCGCACTGACTGCCATGGCACTGCTTGCAGGAGTAGAGTTACTGTGTGTGTAAGCAGGGAGGGGAGTTGGAGGGGCGGCATTCAAAACTGAAGAAAAATACGTTTTGCTGCATGTGAAGTTAYAAAACCTTTTCTTAACTTGTCCATCTCTGAGAAACCTATTATTGTAATCAGTTGCAGGGCTGCGAGGGGAAATCGGGCCTTCTAAGATAAAGACAAAAATAGCACATTCAAATATATTTTAAGAAAGGCGACTCTTCCTTTAAAGAGTAGGTCTGAACTGGTTCAAAGAGCAGTAGCAGCAATTTTATCARGTTGKKTTTTTTTTGTCTTTAACAACTCTTTGCTTGAAACCAAACAGAGATTCCATTAAAATTGCTTTTGAGCAGCATGTATTTATGCACCAAGTTAACTTACAGRGCTTGTGGGAGTATCTCCCGTTAGATCTGAAATTCTGAGAATGGACTCTTGCACCATCATCTCCTTGCTGCCGCCTCTGTATGTCCAGGCTGGCCAGGAGGACAAAGTAGGTGACATGGTTGGTCAGCAAGTCATATCAACACCGATTTTTGTTGGATGTTGGTTTCTGCGGGCAGAAGGAATGGTTTTTGTTAGCAGTTTCTTTTCTCTCTTTCTGACTTGCCTGTGTCACTCCATGATGGTGGGGATGTGAGCTCACCTGGACCTCCTTGAAACAGCAGCAGAAAAAAMCCCCAAACCATTGATTTGTGKGGGGAAAACTGGAAAATGTGCACCSGTTACAAGCTGCTGCCACAGAAACTTCAAGGCAAATACATAATTTATGTTACTTTCTTCTCGAGAAGATCATGGTTCGGGGAAATCCAGGATGTGCTTTTAAATATATGCYCTGTTACCCTGTAATAGTGTTTGAGTTTTAAAAAAGTTTAAGCTCTTGCATTAAAGTGGGGGTGTTGCTGGGTTTTGGGGTAGTCATGTAGTGTTAGGTATATTTTGAGGTTCTGAGTGAAATGAGTCTTGTGGTTTCAGCTTATTCTGTAACAAAGCGTAATGTGTCGCACACCAACAGCCCACCTAAGTTTTCATAATTGACTGAGGATTTGCTCTGGAAAGACCCAAAATCCTGATATGAGGCAGATTCAAAAGGTAGTTTATTTTTCTTTTTCATTTTCTTTTTTAGTCGGTCATTCCCCAATTTACAGTTGAAATTTTGTTAGAATTTCAGGCGAATCACTTATCTTCAGCTTCCCCTCCACGGCTCAGGTGGGCTGTTGGAGGTCACTTCCCAGGCACATGGTGACAATTTCCGTACCCCACCGATGTCTAAAGCAGCCATCCTGGGTCTTGGCACAAATTTTCTCCCATCTGTTTAGTTCAGCAAGAAAATGGTTTCTGTCTTTCCCCTCCCTCCCCTCATCAACTGCTCATGGTGAGATTTTTTTATAGAGCCCGCATTGTGATATGTCCTTGAAGTGCAGAGCTGCAAGGTTTTGTTTTCTTTTGCTGTTTTTTCTCTTCATGTTTAAAGTTCATTGCAACTATAGCAAAGCAAGATTGTTGTAGATGGTCTTTTTGATCTCCSCCTTGTCAAAAATTTAATGTTCAGTAGTGAGGAAAAACTCAGACTGAGGTACTAAAACTTACTCCAGCTAACCCTGGAGTGTAAAGACTGTAAAAATATGGATTGCGGAAGGATTGCCCCAGCAAAACAGGTAGGTGTAAGTTAAATGTTAAATCAGCACCTCTTTTTTAAAAGATCCCTGATGGTGAGGTTTTTGTTCACGCCATCTGGCTAGAACGAGGCTTACTAGGACTCTTAAAGGACAGGGGCCATTTGAGGTGCAGAATTTATATCAGGTATTTTCTTTTAAAGTGAATGTCAAATCCTAAATAATTTCAGCATCAGACTTTGCAAAAAAGTACCCAACCCTCTAAAGCTAGTTTAAAATTTGAGAATGGCTTAAGTTCTCTGTCTTAAAAAAAAGAAAGTAATTATTGTCTCTGTTCCCCACTCCATCCTTTCTCCTCCCTCTGCCCCTGCCCCCCCCCCCCCCCCCCCCCCCCCAATTTTCATTGATGGGGAAGT